CTTTGAATTGGTTGGCTTTCGGGTTAATGGTGCTGAAATTGTTTTCAATCCTTCGGCGACTGTCGGTGAATTGAGCGAACCGATGTGGCCGATTGAGGTAATTACCTTTTTGCCCTTGAGTTTGATTTACTCGATTATTTGGTATGTTTTTAAAATGTGCGTGTGTGTGTGTATTGTTCGACTTGTATGTTAGTTGCCTTGTGCATTATGGGGGTGAAAATTGGAACTGAGTTTTCGAATTCCGCCGATTATTTAAGTAATAATGGCTAATCTTACCAACCAAACGAGGTCTTATTATAGTAGAAGTCGTAACAACATTTCCAAATCTCGGTAGTTCCTATCTGAAAATGCGCAACTCAGAACAAATTTTTTTATTCAGATGTTTTAAAATTCCAATTCCCGATTTTTCCAAAAAAAAAAAAAAAAAATCGAAAGTAGTCTTTGTTTCTTCCGAAAATATTATTTCATCATAATTTCACGCTCTCAAATTTCACTTAATTGCATAACACTACTTTTGCTGCAGGCTCGTAATGCAGCTATAGCAAACAGTTACTTCGTTTGTTCGATCAATCGCGTGGGGACCGAAATCTTCCCGAATCCATTCACATCGGGAGACGGAAAACCACAACATGCGGATTTCGGGCATTTTTACGGGTCGACCCATGTATCCGCACCCGATGCATCTTGCACCCCATCTCTATCGCGCCACAGAGACGGTTTATTGATATCGGAAGTTGATCTCAACTTATGTCGCCAAATCAAAGATAAGTGGGGATTTCGAATGACAGCTAGATACGATATTTATGCCGATTTGCTTGCTCGTTATTTGAAGCCCGATTTCGAACCTCAAGTCGTTTGTGATCCATTTTCGAATAAGAAGAGCTCTTGAAAGGAGATTAAAGGGTGAATTTGACAAGAAGCAAAAAAGAAATATATATATATATATATATATATATATATATATATATATATATTTGCTGAATATTTTTTTATTTCTGTCACAATTGAAATAAAATGTTGGTTGTGGTTTGAATTTGGATGTGCTTTGATTGAGATGTTTGAACTTTGAACAAGTGTGTTGATTCTTGTTTATTTAGTTCTTTATATTTCATATTGCCTAATATCTTTTGCTTCAAATTAGCGTGGAAATCGATCGAATGAATTGGAATTGACATTTTTCGAAGAAAAAAAATCATTTTCTTTTAGTGAGAAAGCTATTTTCAATTCCATTCCAACAAAATTCGAAAAATTGAGAATTGTAATTTGGAATTGCGATCGGAACAGCCACAAATTAGACATAACTTAACATGATCGATTATCCGATTTGATCTAATGAACCGAAAATGTCAATGACTAAATAATTAGTTAGTCCGTAAAGCACTAATCCTAGCTCACCTAACTCAAATTAACTGATATTCGAACTAAGGTTTTAAAAGATAACGAATGTGATACTTTCAAATCAATTTTTTTATAGTGAAGAACCTCCCATCTCGTTTAATAGCTTGCAAATATTACAGCTATAAATTATATTAATCATAAATTGTGAGTTTAAGCTATAAAACATTCACAAACGAATTCAAATTCATATCATCTAGTCCCACAAGGGAGGTCTAACGATTGGAGCATGTGAGTCTGTGTTAATTGACCCAAATTTAAATTTTCTTGTCAATCGTTGCTAGACGGAGCTTGAAACACACAATAAACTATCTTTCGTATGATTTGCAGACTATTATACGAGATTGTAATTCAGATCACCGACCGAGGAGCAAATCATTTCTTAATTCTTAGTCTCTTACCGAAGTTGAACTCAATGTCTCAATCAAGAAAATAAAATTTTATCCAATCAAGATCTACTTACACCGCCACCCAAATACAAATCTACCCCATTGGATAGAATTTCAATTCAAGAAAAAAAAAAAAAAAAAAAAAAACCTAAAACCCAATTTCAAAAAATGTCAAATTAACCAGATATGTATTCAGCAACTGTAATCTCGAATCCCATCTCGAATTACCCTATAAAACCCAACATTTTCCCTCCAAATCTTCACAATTTCCAGCCAAGATTCAATTTTTGCGCTTTGCCCATCGAAAGAATGGCTTTTCCTGGCCTCAAAATCAGTGCCGGCGCCACCGCCGCTGATGCCGACGGTAGCGGCGGCGGCGACGCTGGGTTTCAGACGCTGACGGAGTATATGGGAAAAGGCGGCGAAAACGTGGGAGACGAATTGGTGGTGCTGTACAGTCACTTGGAGTACGCTTGCAGAAAGATTGCTGCTCTTGTTGCTTCGCCGTTCAACTCCGCTCTTGCTAAAACTTCCAGTTCCGCCGCCGCCGGCAGTGCTGAGAGGGATAAGCCTAAGCCGCTCGACATCGTCGCCGTACGTTTCTGGGCCCACGTTTGATTACTTTATGTTGGGATAATTATACTTTTGGTACCTATATTGTACATGGAAATTAAATTTAGTCCCTAATTTATTTATTTTCACAATTTTAGTCCCCAAAGTAGCCAAAAAAAGTAGAGGGCCAATTACGGTCAACCCCAGCAGTAAACCCATATTAAAAAAAAAAAAAATCTTATTTGGGTAATTATGACCAACCCCTCAATTATGTATTTTCTTTAAAAAACAACCCTTCATTTAGCACGTAAATTGACATTAAATTACAAAAAAAAAATCCTTCTGGTTTGGGTAATTACAACTAACCCCTCAATTATGTATTTTCACACGAAAACTAACATTATTTTGTAGGTAAATTTGACATTGTAACAATGGAAGTGTAAGACAATAAATAGTTGAGGGATGATTGAAACTACCCAAACAGATAGGGGTTTTCGTAATTTGGCATTACCTTAAAAGGTTGGCCGTAATTTAACCCAAAAAAATCAACTTCGTCCGCCGTTTGATTTGAGGCTAGTTTAGACGGAAAAGTCGCGTGTTTTGCACGTTTCACCCCATTTCTTACCTCTAATTTTTATTTTGCCCCACTTTCAGTTTATTCCTACACTTTCATCCCCTAAAACATTAGTAACGATAGAGACTGATTCATTAGAATATACGTATTGTTTTGCAGAATGACATTATATTGTCATCTTTAAAGAACTCGGGAAAAGTCTGCGTAATGGCGTCAGAAGAAGACGACGCTCCGGTTTGGCTAGCGGACGACGGCCCATTCGTTGTTGTTTTAGACCCTCTAGATGGTTCTAGAAATATCGATGCCTCTATTCCGACTGGAACGATATTCGGTATCTACAAACGACTAGTGGAACTCGATCATCTCCCATTGGAGGAGAAGGCGACGCTTAATTCACTCCAGAGTGGAACTAAGCTTATCGCCTCGGGCTACGTTCTTTATTCATCGGCTACGATTATGTGCACTAGTTTTGGATCGGGAGCACATGCGTTTACGTTGGATCGATCGACGGGAGACTTCATTCTGACCCATCCGAACATTAAAATCCCTCCTCGAGGTAATGATATGTTATATACTCCCTCCGTTTCAAATTATCTGTCTGTTTTTTAGAGATATTTATTTGTTATTTGTTTCATATTGTCTGTCAATTTAGAGTTCCATGATGCATTTATTACTTTTTTGTTTCCACGATTTTGTGCTCATGCACCTAAGTAGGGGTGGAAATTGCATCGATCGGATCGAAAATAACACTTTTAGAAAAATTTCAATTTTCTTGGGGAGTGGAAAAAAAATTCCATTTTCGTTCAAAAAAAAAGAACAGAAAAATTGGAACTCCCAAAAAAATGAAAAAACTTGTCCCAAAATCGGAAACCTTGGGATCGGAATCGGCGGAATTCGAAAATTCGTATACCGGAAAAAAAGTCGGAATTTTGGAAAAAAAAAAGAAAAATGAAAATCGGATCTGAATCAGAATCTAATATGGTTAAACCTCTATAAATTAATACAATCGGGACTAGGGAAATTCTATTAATTTAGCGAATTATTAAATTATCGAGTTAACACTTTAACACGTTTTCACCAAGTCAGGACATAGAGAAACTATTATTTAATCGAGGTTATAAAATTATCGAGGTTCTACTGTATGTATTCCAATTTCATTAAAACGGTAAGTTAGAATGATCAGAAATCAGAACTTTGTGGGTTCAGATTTAGAAGTATTCTTCCAAAATCGGCGAAATTCGGAACTTTCGTTCTAATTTCCACCGCTACTCCTAATTAATGAAGATAAAATTAGTAGAGAGAGAATTAATAAAAACGGTATTTTAGTCCATTAAGTGCATTTTTCCTAAAATTTACATAATACTTGTGCCGAAACTTTAAACGGCCGATAAAATGAAACAGAGAGAGTATTTTAATGGATGCAATTTTGATCAATTTAAATTGTTTTTCATTTTATAGTTACGTTTGTTTCTTTGTTATGATGACAGGGCAAATATATTCAGTAAACGACGCTCGGTATTTCGACTGGCCGGAAGGCTTAAGGAAATACATTGATACCGTTAGACAAGGCAGAGGGGAAAATCCCAAAAAATATTCAGCTAGATATATATGTTCACTCGTTGCGGATTTTCATCGAACACTTTTGTACGGTGGAACCGCAATGAATCCAAGGGACCATCTTCGACTCGTATACGAAGCTAATCCGCTCAGCTTCTTAGCGGAGCAAGCTGGCGGCAAAGGCTCCGATGGTAAAGTTCGGATACTGTCTCTTCAGCCCGTTAAGCTGCACCAAAGACTTCCCCTGTTTTTGGGGAGTTCGAAAGATATCGAAGAGTTGGAAAGTTATGGAGATGTTCAACAGAAAGTTAATCCTGGATATGATGTCTGAAAAGTTTAGTCAATTGTTGTTGTAATATATAAAGATTGGGATATAAATAAATAAAATAAAAATTGATTTGTTTCTTTGTTCATCCAAACCTTTCGAGGGGCTGCTAGGGTTTCCCGTTTCGATTCTCTCACGATTTTCTGATTGCACGGTTTTTACTTATTAAATTTATCACGTTGATTATGCTGGTGATGAATATCGCATTTTTAAGAAACAATAATGTCAAAGATGTGCATCTTTCACCATTGTACGCACGTCTTCGTTCCTCGTCACCGATGCATACAGTCTTTCACGCGGGGCTAGGTACTGAAAAAACCAACGAGTCTGGATCTGTAGCTCCACACTTTTCTGCTACAACATCAAAAAGCTTTTTCATATACTGATTATTCTTGATTGCAATAACAAAATGCTAATAATTCTGGTGGGATAACATCCTAGCACTTCAATCATTAGTTGCTGACTATAAAAAAACTCTTTCAGAATCTCATTATTCTTGATTGCAATGACAAAATGTTAATAATTCCGGTGGCGACAACATCCTAGCACTTCAATCAGTAGTTGCTGACTATGAAAAAAATTCTTTCACGAGTCTCATTATTCTTGATTGCAATGACAAAATGTTAATAATTCTGGTGGCGACAACATCCTAATACTTCAATCAGTAGTTTCTGACTATCAAAAAACTCTTTCATGAATCTCATTATTCTTGATTGCAATGACAAAAGACCGATGATTCTGGTGGCGACTAAATCCTAGCACTTTCAATCAGTGATTTCTGACTTTAAAAAGCTCTTTTAGAGTCTCATTGTTCTTAATTGCAATGACAAAAAAACTGATGATTCTAGTAGCGACAACATCCTAGCACTTCAATCAGTGGTTGTTGACTATCAAAAAGTTCTTTTAGAGTCCCATTATTTTTTATTGTAATGACAAAAAACTGATGATTATAATGACGACAACATCCTAGCACCTTAATCGTTGGTTACTGACTATTATCATATACGTCCATTGTTTCAAATAGGGGACATATAACTAAAATGGTAGCAATGTAAATAAACGAAGTTACAATAACGCGAAAATGGGGCATAAATTAAGCATGCCGATTTATTCAATTTACGAGCTAAATCCCTCTAATAGTTACATGATTTGATTGAGTTTAATGCATGACTAAAAAAAAAAAAAAAAAAAAAACATTGACTGGGCCCCACTCTCCATCACCATACATAACGTGATTGACGGCTCTGATTTTCTCTGCCACAAAATCCCAACTCACACTTAACCATTTTTAGCGGGTCAATTACATAAATGGTGTAATAGTAGAATTGGTTTACATGAATGGTGTATTTTTTACATAGTTCATAAGAATGGTGTAAAACTGTAAATCACATTTACCACTGGCGACTTCTGACATTTAAAAGTCATCTGCAACACAAATCGTTTATGCTAGAGGCGATTTCACTATTTTATTAAATACATTTTCCAATTGTACAACAATTCAACTTAATTTTTTAAATAAAGTGTACATTAATGGTACCTACTTCATTACTTTTTTAACATTTTATGGTTTATAATTTCTTTTCGTTTCTTACATTTTTAAATCTCCATTTAGTTTTTTGCTTTAATTTATTTATAATATTTATATAATAGCGAATTAAAATTACACAATAAATATAAATTTTAACGTACATTTAATTTAACTAAAAATAAACACAAAATAAACAAATTTCATAATATTCAATTACATACAACTAAATTTGATTCGTACAAATAGACGACCAGGTGAGACATGTTCAGTTTTAGGGTTAAATACATGATATGCCTAATTGAGCCAACCCAATGGACATACAATTCTTTTACCTACTGAGGCACGAGCTCAATGTTGAAGAGCACTGCCACCGAAGGCCAATCACCTTCAAATAAGGTTTTGGCCCGACAATCTCAACTAATTAAACTTCAGCTCAATCAATGAGTTGTAAATAAAAGTTTGAACTCGTTCTTTAAGGTACGTCTTATTATGTGAGCAATACTACCAACTGTATTCTCTGGACTATTCTCACTATCCGCACGTCTGACTTGAGCGTCAGAGGAGTTTCCGTCAGATCAACCTCCGGCTTAGTTTAAATACATGATATGCCTAATTGGGCCAACCCAATGGGCATACAATTCTTTTACCTACTCGGCCATGAGCTCAATGTTGAACAACACTGCCACCGAAGACCAATCACCTTCAAATAAGGTTTTGGCCCGACAATCTCAACTAATTAAACTTCAGCCCAATCAATGAGTTGTAAATAAAAGTTTGAACTCGTTCCTTAAGGTACATCTTATTATCTGAGCCATACTACCTGTATTCTCTGGACTATTCTCACTATCCGCACGTCTGACAAAGCGTCGGAGGAGTTTCCGTCAGATCAACCTCCGGCTTAGTTTAAATACATGATATGCCTAATTGGGCCAACCCAATGGGCATACAATTCTTTTACCTACTCGGGCATGAGCTCAATGTTGAACAACACTGCCACCGAATTTTCGGAAATTGCATTAATTCTTAATTTTTAGAATTGTTTTTCAATATTTTCGTAATTTTCCGGCAAAAGACAAGAATCCAAAACAAATGTCAATAAGATGAAATGTAAACTCTTGTAAAAACAATACAATAAGCAAACATAGTTCTTGCAAAACACGAATAGAAAAACAATAGTATATATATATTTCGGAAATAAAATTGGATCGGAAATCGGAATTTCCAATAATTTTATATGTAATTCCAATTCCGTTCCAAAAATAATCGGAAAACTCGGAAATCGGAATATCGGAAATTGGTATGAAAAAAAGTGTTCCAAATTCGGATATTTTCGGATCGGAATTGGTGGAATTCGGAAATTCCGTTCCAATTTCCACCCCTAATTATATATGTCAGTTTAGATTATTTTTAAATAACTTAAAAGGACTAAAATATAATAACTAAAAAATATTTTAATTCAAACAAAATTTTCGTTAAAATGATTTTTTTTTCAAATTAAAAAGAAACAAAAATAAAAAATAAAAATGGTGTTTGAGAAAAACAAAATAAGAGAAAAAAACTATTCCAAATTACCAAAGTAGCCCCATTTTCAGAAAATGAATAAATAAACATATGATAAGTAATAAGGTAGGCTGACAATTACTGCACAATTACCAAGAAGTCAAAAATGGCCTCTAGCAAATGTGATTTACTCCAATTTTATAAGCAAGAAAAAAAGTACACCATTTGTGTAAATCAAATTGGCTTCTACGCCATATATGTAATTGACCCCATTTTTAGCTCTATCCCATGATTCCCACTTTTCTCCTCTTTATTATTCATTATTCATTATCCATTTCCCACAGCTCAAAAACACCAATCACCCACTAATTATTTCCATAATCGCCACTAATTAACTCCCCTTAATCACACTATATATTCCTCATAAATCAAAAAATGCATCCGCAAACACCACACACGCCATCTTCGTTAGGGCTAGGGTTTTGATTCTCTCTCTCTCTCTCTCTCTCTCTCTCTCTCTCTCTTCCCGTTTTCGCCTCTGTGGAGCCACACCGCTCATGGATGCTGTGAAGGGGAGGCCGTTTGATTACGCGAACGTGCCTGTAAGAGTTCATGACGGCCGCGGAGGATTCGACGCCGATGACGTCAGCGGCGGCGATGAGACGATGATGAGCGGCGCCGATGAAATGGCGTTTCCGTCCAGGACTAGTGAGCTTTCCATTTCTTTCGAAGGCGAAGTATATGTGTTTCCTGCTGTCACTCCGGAAAAGGTTTTTTTTTTTTTTTTTTAATTAATTAATTTTTGTTTGCTAATATTATGTGTGGTTTTCGATTTTCGGTATCGGTTCCTGGAAATTCCCAATTAGTTGACGGTTTTCGTTCTGCTGTTTGAATTGAAATAGTTATGAAATGCTTTTTTTTTTTGTGGTACTGTTAGTTGCAATCAAAATCAATGAATATGGGAGTTGTTGATTAAGTGTGGTGATTATTTTTTACTGATTGATGCGCCGAATCATGAACAGTGATCATGTATGTATTCACGTTGTAGTTGCAAGAAGTGCTGTTGCTATTGGGAGGTCGGGAGACACCAAACAGTATCCCCAGTTCTGAATTTCTGTCACAAGTGAATGATAAGGTATATTTACGGTAAAATTTCGGGTATGGCTTGCTAAGGATACTTCGGTCATTTTAGTTATGGTCGGAAATTCGACTTTGATTAGATGAGTTTGTGATGTTCGTGTGTGAAATGGGCTGCAGGCTGTGAATGATGTTTCGAGTCGGCCTAATGTTTCTAGGAGGCTTGCATCATTAGAGAGATTCCGTGAGAAACGGAAGGAGAGAAGTTTTGAGAAGAAGATTAGGTACTCTTGCCGAAAAGAAGTCGCTCAAAGGTAGTCTCTGTTTGGAACTCGAAAATTCGTCCCAATTTTGCATAATATTACATAGTACATACTGAAGGTATACATGAAATTTTCCCTATGGCAAGGTTGGTGTGATTTTGCTTGGAGAAGAAATACTTGATAAAGAGTTAATATGGTTGAAAAATAACGGGAAGAGAAAATATGAACATGGTAATTGCTGAATTCAGTTTCAGTATTGTTAGCCAAGTATAAATGAATAGTTTGAGAGGCTACAATGACGTGTGCGTAACCAGTAGTGAAGTTTTGTCGTTCATGCTGGTACAGTTAATGAATTCTTTAGTCTGATTGAATATCTGTCAGGATGCATCGGAAAAACGGCCAATTTGCCGCTGTAAACGATACTTGCCAAACATCTGATGACAATTTGGGTTCGAGCAATAGCACACCTCAACAAGAACCGGTGTAAGTATGGAGCCTTTTATAACATGCTAGTAGCTATTTTGTTACGCTTTCTTCATTTTGCTTTTCTATTTATTTTGATTGTCTCAGATTTCACCTGCAGGGCAATCACTAATGTGCATTAAACTTCTAACTTCTGCATCTTATTTCTTCAGAACCCGTTAGCATACTCTATATTGCTCAACATGCTAAACTTCGATGCTGAAGTTATACATATATCAGTTCACTTAGCACCAGCAATCCTGACTATTTTAAAAGTCCACATACTGAATTTTTCTCATCTAGAGAAAGTTGGTTATTTGGAATGATGTGGTTTTCCAAATATGAAAGCCATAATGCACCTGATTGTTCACTTCGTATTGTCACTGTTGCATCATAAAAATTTGGTAAACTGTTTCCTACAGTTATAGATGGATTATAGAAGAGTAATTTCGCTAACAAGTATTTCGATATTTCCTGAATAAAATCCTATAGATATGACATAAACTGGGGTGATTCTTTAATGAACTCTCGTCCTCTGTTTTCTTCATTCTGGTGTAGTTATCATAAATTTCTTTTTCTGTAGATGTAGCTCACGTACATGTCAACATTGTGGGGTTAGCGAAAATTCAACTCCTGCAATGCGTCGGGGACCAGCAGGTCCAAGAACTCTATGCAATGCTTGTGGATTGATGTGGGCAAACAAGGTACGGGTTATTCATAAGTTCCGTTGAAATTTTGTGTTGTCTCCACATGTCCATTTTATTGAATATTCGCTACTTATTGCATGTTTTATTGAGCTTTACATATTTCTTCTATTTCCCGTCATTTGGATAATATCACATACAATATCTCAACTTCACTTTTGATACTCTATTTTGGTTAGTGTACTTAAAGTCGCCCCTTTTCCTATTCTTACGTGGTTTAAATGTGTTTCTAGGGGACTCTACGAGATCTAACAAAGGGAGCAAGGCATCTATTCAATCAAAATGATCTAGTACGTGGTGCATTTATAACTTCTCAGTCTTTTATTTGTTGTTCCAAAGCATCGTTGCAGTAAGAAAATTCTGTTATGTAGTTTATTTTAATCGAAATAGTTTCTAACAATTACTTTTTAGGATCTTGGTGTACTTACATATGCTTTTCATCTAAATTCGTTAATTTAGAAGCATCTACATTAATGTGTTCAACAGGGACCTCTGGATATCAAGCCTATTGCTGTTGCTGCACCAGATAAGTCGTACTTCAACCAGGATGAAAATGTACCAATTGAAATTTGTCAATGTTTCTGTATTGCCAACTATCCCGAAGAATATTGTGGAAAAATGAGAATGAGAATTAACTTTTTTTTTTCTGTTTGGTCGGGCAGAGAACTCCTGAACAGACACGGCTTGTGGGGGAGTACGGAAATCCTTTACTAAGAACTGAGCAGGTATGCAGTCTTTTTAAAATCCAATAATGCCCTTGTTAAAGATAGCTCCAGCAAATGTTGACTCAATTTTCATGCCACTAAAGATTGTTTAAATCAATTTAATTGGTAAGCAATAATCATGTACAGAGTACAGTCCAATTTTTAGCTGCTTTGATTTCCAGGACTTGATCGAGATTACTGAAGGAATTGCTGACGATTCATCGTTTGGAATAGAGAATTCATCTGGCAACCTTGCCGAACAGGTGATTGTTCCTCGAAAAAGTTTGATGTTTCTTACATTTCTGGCAGCTTTTTCCCGACCTCCAAAATCATTATCCGTATGTACACTATTAGTTTGTGATGGTTGTATGTATGTACATGGACTTTTTAAATACTCTCTTCTCAAAATTCAAACTGGATTTAAATGGACGGAAATTTTCGAAATGAATGTATATTTTGGTTACCAGGAAACTTTGGATGAACTTGCTAATCTGTCTGGAACTGAATTCGATATTCCAGCTAACTTTGACGAACAGGTGTGCACTTTTACGAACCTGGAGCCACCTGTAGTGCCATATAGACTTGTTTTTTTTACATGCTCTGCTCACTTTTATTAAGATTTTATGTACAGGTTGATGTTGATTCACATATAGGTATCAAGTGGCCAGTGACATGAACCATGTTGCCCCGATTAGTGTGACTAAAGACGACTAGCCAGCTAACTTCATCTTCAGAGACGTTTCGTTGATTGTAGTGAGATTATTCAAGAGAGAGAGAGAGATATTTTATCTTAGCTTTTCGTAGATGGTTAAAATTTGTCTTCGAATGTTCATAGTTTTACTCTATCCAAAGCCGTGGACTGAATTTTGTATATATAATTGTAGGAATCGCCTAATGGATATAGCACTTGTCCATAGTTTTCTGGTGGATTGGAAGATAGTCCATAAAATTGCATAGTCGATACATAAAGCATCAGAATTTCAATTCCACGTGTGAGACTTTGATTGGCGTCTTTTATCTGGCACATTTCCATTCCGTTATTTTAAGAATACTTTTGAGTGTTTGCCTATATTTTAAATGAGGCAATTTACACTGTAATATCAGGGAACATTATTTTAGCAGAAAATTAATATAATATTTGTATATATTTTAGTGAAATTATAGAACATTCAGAAAAAGAATATTCAAGATTTTTTTTTGTTTAGGAGGGATTAGTAGATTTCGATATAATTAAAGATATTAGAAACGAGCACCTCTATGGATGAAAATTGAAAACTCCATCGAGCCCTGTGCATAAGAGATGAATTTATGATGGCTGTTATGAAAAAGATGACTACGAATATTTTCGATCCATCGTTAATGCACTACCGAAAAAATCATAAACGAATGTATCTGACTAAAGCTTCGAAAGATTACAGGGAATTTCAGAAAAAACAAAAACAAAATTAAACAAATGCAAACTATACAGATGTCTTCCATAGAAAGCCTGTCGGAAAATTGCAGCACCAAACATATGGTAAAAACTAAAGAGTTTAACTGACGAAACAAAACTAGAGTTATCCAATATATTTGGCTACAGCACCGCACCTAAAGCGCGGGAACTGGCTCCTACTTTTATTGGAGCTTTTGTAAGCAAAAGGTATTTATAACCAACCATATCAAAAGCGAACAAAAAGATATACTATACGGAACTGATAGGAAGACAAATAGTCAATTTCGCTATTTCTCAATTTAATAGAAAGAATTGCTGACTCGACTGGGCACTCAGCGAGTCATGTAACGAAGATGGCGAATGACAAACCTAAATATCAACCGATGGATAAAGACCAGGCATCGAACTGCGCCCACCGCCGTTGAAATCTGCATAATATGGTGAGTGAAGCTCTCCAGAATGCGATGATTTACGTGACCCCCTTTGGTTTTTCGGTGAAGCGTTGTATGAGTCGTTTGAGCCACTGCTTGTGTTGTATAACGATGAAGTTGGAAGCCCGTGAATCTTTGGCAAACCTGTTTGATCAGTGCTTACACTGTAGCCTCTCTCGACTGTCTCAGCTTCGAGTGGAAGTTCATCAAGTGTCTACATACAAAGGAAGATATATTTCATTTGGATCTTCGAGATAGTGGTTCGTACAAAAGGGAAAGTAACAGAAGATAAAGTTGACGCTTATGTGTCGATGATTAAATATATAATTTATCTGTTGAGCACATCCTCAATGAGATTTTGCAGTAAAAAGCTTTTCGAGTAATGGCATAAGATACAAGAAAGCATGAATCAATGAATAAGCCGAGATAAAACTCCTTATTTGCATTTTTTGTACCAGAATGCCCATTTCTTATTGGCTTTTATTTGTGCTGCTCCATGCAAAGTAAAAAAAATACTTGAACCGCCGTAGCCACCGAAAATTAGGTATTCAAAATGCCAATCAACCAGAAGTTGTATAATTTTATAAGGGTTGGATAAGGTTTTTTCTCATGCAAAACAAAGGTGTATCAATTGCTATATAAAGAGAACTTACTCGGAATGCTTGCTGCAGAACGCGAAGTGTCTCTCGGGTACGCTTTCTCTTTGTGGCCACCTCATCTGGTTCTTGCAACATTTCTTCAAACATGTTGTCTCTGCTCAGACATAATAACCAGTCACAAGCATCAATATTTTGCATTTTGGGAAGACAAAAAGTTCAGCCATGTATACAGTACATATAACAGTGTACAGTAACAGTTTCTTGGAAATAGAGCATACCTGTAAAGCTTTTTGATGAAAACATTATGGAGCTCCCGTTTCGTATGGTTTACCTGCAATATAAGATAGACAAATTGTCAAAATGCATTTGGAATCTGGAAGTTGAAAGCTGACGAAGTTATGGCAAATACTTCAGCAGCAACAAGTGAAAATTTAGAAATGAAAGCTAAAAATGCAGGAAGAATCATATGAGATTACCAGAAAATGCATAATCGCTTTTGGTACAAAGTCCTCGATGTTCTTTCGCACAATATCATAATATGACCTTAATAACAGCTTCGTAACAGCAATCTCAACAGCCTCTTGATCTGAATGGGTTTCCGAGGGTCTCAACACACTAGGAGGCTAAGATAAATAAGTAGTAAGAGAAAAAGTTAGATGGTATGGCATGCAGGAGAGACTGCTAACAACAAAATTGATTGATGATGGAGAGAATACTCTAAATACCTCTCGCAAATGAATCATCGAGAAGCTATGCTCCATGCTCTGAACAGGTTCGTTAAATGGTTTACTGGTCGAATTCTCCTTCATAGATCCGCGATTATCATGGCTGCCGAAAATTGAAGATATTCCCCAGGTCGATACAGCATTGGTAACTGGTTTGATAATTCATAATTGCAATATTAGGATGTAATGAAGATAATTTTGCACGGAGGTAGACACAAGGGCTTCTTACAATGGAGCAATTTTGTTCTCTTTATTTGAGTGTAAAATTTTAGAATTCATCTTAGTGTTTTCGACTTCTTTTTAATACATAATTCAATGAGGTGCACGAAAACAAAGTTGACTGAAAAGTAAAAAGTACCAGGAGGTGCAGTTTTCTCGACATCTGCAGCAGGCCGAATACCCTTTTTGCCAAAGAAAGAGCAGAGCAGCAGAAAGATAATCGGTCATTCAGGGAAAAAAGAAAGACAAATCAAATGTTCAGGACTATGCAGGCACTTCGGGAACAGTAGATAACTTACCTGCTCTGGAACAATTCCGTTCTGTTGGCGGGTAAAAATCGCACGAGACTTTTGACTTTTCTCTGAATTCGGTGCTTTATCTGAATCTATTGGTTCCTATATGATGAATGCAGATCATGCATTAATAAAAAGATCCTGTTAAGTAAAAAAGGGTGAATAAATCCACCGGAACAGCAAAGACTTTACCTTCTGCCTTGCATTGGGTGTGGCGGCAACTCTGGAGGCCCTCGTCTGCTGTAATGCCATCTCCACAGCTTTACTCCCACCAACAAAATTTGGATGGGAAGTGTTTATGTAATCCATCTACAAAGAGGATAATTAGACTCCAGCAATATGTAGAATGAATAAAGAACCAATAAATATGCAGAGGTAAAAGAAGCACTAGGATTGATGAAAATTACTATATGATCTGCAAAATTTAACTATTTCCTCCTTAATGTTAAAAATGTATAAACTACTCCCTTCATAATCTATATTACTGCAGAAGATTGATAGGAAATGAACAAACATTCAGATGATTCAATTACTAAACAGCGGATCAATTGAGAAAAATACTTAAACAACAAAGCACTTAGAGCACAAGCACATAGTACCAAATTAAACAAAATGGAACAGCGTCCTACAAGATGAATCTAATAGGATCAATCATGACGGTGGAGAATCAGTCTCAGAAACAAATAATGTAATTTAGAAAGATTTAACAGTAGAAATGTGAGAAACAGAGTAACTTTTATTTTCTCTGGCTGAGGATGCAAAGAGTAAAAATGTTAACACGTATTCCTATGCCAGCACCCTGAGAGAGGATGGTTCAGCGCAAGGGCAGAATAGACAGTGACAAAAGAGTTCCTGAAAGGTTATTCTTGTATAAAAATAGCCAAAGAAATACCGCTAAGATGAGTCGCCCCAAATATTCTTCTGAAAATGCTAAAAACAAAGATATCATTATTCAAAAAAGCTATTGTTCTGGAATAGTGGCAACAGAAATAGAGGAAAGATTACAAAAAAGAGGTAGTGGAATCTTGTATCCAGGGATTTTAGGAAAACAATCAAATGTCTACATTTTGATGTGGCAAAAATCATATCTGATAAGGTAGGAAAATTGGTGTGTATCATGTCAGACATTACCTCCATTTCAATAATATGACCAATCATTGTCTCTGAAGGCTCAAGACCTTCTCGCAAAAAATTCCCAATGACCTCATCCATACGCTTTCTTAGAACTGGAAAGCGTTGCATTTCATTAACCATACAGCGATGGCTCATCTAAAGAAAAACTCAAGATTAATGTCCAAAGAGAAAGGCAATATACAACATTATGCCATGTCATAATTTGAAAAAATTGTACCTTTATTAGCTCATCATATATAAATCTAGCACACTGAAGACTTGGATCCAACAAACGAGCAATCTGTCTTCTAATAAGAACCTCGAACGGAACCTACATGTTTGTGATTATGTTGAAAGCCAGATGTCACATTGAAGGCCAAAAAACAAAGTTGCAGTTTGCCGTTCATACAAAAATATCGATGCAATCAAAAAAGGAAATTGGTACCAACACCTACTTCCGGCACAAACAGTGCAGACTTGGGACCAGTTGCATTTTGAATGGCAGTGCGTATGTCATCATCTGTTAAGTCCTCACAGGGATCTACTTCCTGGCAGAAAGAAAAAGTTGTATATCACAACTAACAGAAGTTGATACAAAGCAATTGGTGTCACATGCATATCCAGAAGCCACAAGCCTCAACAAAATCAAATCTAAGGAAGGGTAGTAACGAGTTGAAATTGTATGGTACTTCAAAAGGATAAAATATGTAGAATAAATACATCAGCGCCTAATAGTATAGTTGAAATTCCCAGAGAGCAATTTACACTGCAATCTGCATAAATGAATTTTACAAGGCAGCTTTTGTTTGAATGTTTCCTTTTAGGTTAACCAGTCTACCTTCAACCCCCTTATATGTATTGTGTTTTCCAAACCATAAAAAAAATCAAAATGCAGTAGTATTGACTTGAAGACAAACCAAAGGAGGACTACAATTCTGAAGACTCAGTTCTGTTAAGATTTTTAATCACGGAATTTCAGAAAATAATTGATCATATATGAATTTGTCAACAAAATTAATAACATACGATTATACAAACACAACGGAGTTCAAATCAAAAGAACAAACCTCCAAGCTCTTTACAAATATATTTTGGAAAATGTAATGGACTCTTGCTCCACCAGACAACTCAGACGTCGACATCTCTTCATGCTTTCCCTCTATCATTGAAGAGAATGCTGTTTTGGACAAAACAAAAATTCCTCAAATGAGTTAACATGTAAACAAAAATTTTGGAAAGGAAGGATGTCAACTTTTTAAATGAATAGAGGTCACATACCATCGGAATATTTTGAAAGAATGTTCAATACTAATGCTCCTTGGCCGGCCTGTTCATCACAACAATGATAAAGATTAGAAATCCAGATAATTGGTGGATCACACCTAGTCACTAAAGGTTCCTGGATTATAGCATAAACCAGTTGTTTGCTCTGTTTAATAATGCCTTGTTAAGGACAAACGATCAATAAGACAAATAGCAGAGCATAACTGTACATGTAAATACATTTGGAATTTTAAGCCCAAATAATTCAACATGAAAATGATATATTATTAGAGAAAAAACCTTTGATTCAATAATCTCTCCATAGCTAGCATGCTCCTTTGCAACAGAAATCAGTGCAGAGCCAATGCGTGTTTTCAACCCTGGAAGCACTGTCATAATATGTTGTACCAGAATCTGTACAAGGAGAACACTCATATTATCTTAAAAAAATGCAAGAAGAGACTCGAAACAATCAGCAAAATATGTTTCAGAAAACACCCAGATCTCCAACTCGACGTATAAAAGAAACCCTTTGAATATTAAATATAGACATTGTGGTATTTATTAGTTTCGTTCTGCTGTTAAGTAACAAAGAAATGGGTATCCCTGAGTCATTTTATGAATATGGCCTAGCAAATGTAAGGTTCCAAGTGAGCAGCACAAAATATATCATACGGTTGAGACTAGAATGGACTACAAAGGGGATACTACAAACTAAAAGAAAATCACATGTTTCCAGATGATCATGTTACTAACAAGAACGTGTGTTATATAAACCCTAATTAGAGTCAGTCTAACATTATGTACCTGGTTCAACTTCTTGGCCAACTGAGGGACCCCGCAACGCTCAGCAATATCATTGTATACCTGTAAAGAATATATAGCACATCTGAGTGAATAAGCATAAGGGTATAAATCAATTATTAATGAAAGATGTCAAGGTCATACTGGCCGACTGCGAAAAAACTTTTCCTCTGCTACGAGTGCCTCCTTGATGCTCCGATTCATTAAAATATCCTGCTCAATTATGAAAAATAAACATCAAGGAAACAGTTAAAGCTCTACAAGTTATACAGCATTGTTTAATACAGAACAATTCTGTTACTAACATAAACTTTTCTCTCGATAATAAATAGAGGCACTAAGTTACCTAGCTCTTGCTTCAAGTAAGTAAATAATTTACATTATACAAATATCCTACAAACTACATCCTGTCGTGTCTCAAAAATAAGGCATGGCGGAAAACCACCTCCCTACGATCAATTTATTTGAAGTACGAAGATAGAAAGGTGAGCCAAAAATTAGAGACAGATCAAAAGAAGATAAAATACATAAAATTTGGTGCCAGAAGATAAACGGAAGCTATCAAGCATATACTTATGTCTTCAACATGTCCAACCCAACGATAAACGTTCCTTATTGAAAACATGTCCAACTCCACAATCAACATATATTATTTAGGCAAGAATAGCTTTCCACTGGTCTCTTACGAAAACTATATCGACATCATCTATTCTGTTCCATAATGAGGAAATGATTATGAGACTCAACAGAAGGCGAGCAAAGAGAAGTGAGCACTATATCTTTCAAGGCAAAAGGTGGTCAAATTCCTCAAGTTCTCACCTGTCAACCCTTAAAGGGTCATGTCTGCACCCCCATTAAAAGAAGTACAGAAGAACTGCCACTAGCAGCATTTTAGCTTAAACTTGAAATGCAACAAGCCTCGAGATTACTCAATCATGTAATCATTCAACTACCACACAGCAAGCCACTTCTAACTGAAAATAGGATCCCCCAAAATCATCATTGCGAATCCCAGCTGTAAGCTAGATAGGGCCCAAGACAAAATACTCCAGGAAGTTTATTAGAATCATTGAATTATTTGCGGCATTTCTATCTATTATTTTGGATACATCTAATTCTTCAATTTTATTGGATGAAATTTCAATGAATTAAATTTATAAAAACGTTGTGAGATTCGAGCCACAATTCAAGAGAGATCGAGACATACTCATTCAGTCGACATATCTATCACATACATATCTCAAATAGCGAAGTTAGTTTTATAACCAGTTTTTTAATACATAACTATCTAAAAAGTCTCTACTTACAAGATGCTCAAGACTTCAGAAGAAACTACCACAATCATCAAATACTAAGGCAGATTAAAAAGTTAGTGTAACTAGACGGCATAAAATCTGATGTATCATTTCGTAATCCCTTGTAAAGTATGAAAGGAAAACAATTTGAACAATACAACAAATAGTACCTGAACATAACAAAATGAAAAGAAGAGTTCAATTCATAGTAATAGAAATAACTATAAAGCATACATCTGTAAAGTTACCAAAGGAAATTAATTGAATAATTAAAAAAAATGCAAGAGCACAGATGACACCCTCAACCTCTCATGTAATAACAAAATCTAAAAAATTGAACAAAAGCTTTTAAAATAACTGAAATAGAATATCAACAAAAAGAAATATTACCTCTTGACTACGATTCACAACACCTACATAACCAAGCCTAAGAGGAACAACTTTTCCAAGCAAAAAGTTGCGAGCATCAGTGCCCCTGTCCATAATATCCAACTGAAGAAGGCAAAGTAAATATGAAGTGGAATAAAACAAAAATGGCAAATTGCAACATTAAGTAAAAAAAAAAAACAATTACCCCGTCGAAATCTCACCTTAGTAATTACACCAATTGTTCTATAACCTGCAAGAATTAACTTTAACAAATGAACTCCAGCATCCAAATACTAACACTATAGTAGAAGCTACAATCACATATATGGGAAGTTCTTATGGATGAAAGAAGAGATGAAGAGCAGAAAATACCATCAGGATCTGCAATTCCAGCCATTTGAAGTGCATCTGAATTTGCTAGATCTGCATTTGCTGGAGTTACAGCCAGTATCAAGCAACTTTGTCGTTTAATATATGACATTATCATTGTTCTAATACGTGCTTCAATATCAGAAGGCTGATCACCAACAGGAACTTTTGTTAAACCCGGAAGATCCACAAGGGCAATATCAAGAACATTTGGGGAAAAAATCTTTAGACGAATCTGCTTGTCCGAAACACCTTTGTTTCCTCCGGCTTCTCTCTCAGTTTCAGCCTAGATAAGATCAAGAAAGAGATTAGTATGCATATTCTTTAACAATAGATAATATTCAAAAAATTCATGAAAAAATGTCAGGATATCACATTCTACTAGGTTATATGATAATAGCCAGTTTCAGTTATTAGGGAATCTTCCTATCTCAGCCATGAGAAGATGCAACCTGCAGTAGTTAACACTTGACTAGAACTAAATAAAAAGGAGGAGACACTTTGCAGTCGGTCCGTGAAGTATATAAGATATGAATTATATTCTTAGATTATCAAGATTTGTACTTGCATACGTGCATAAAATTCTACATTTAATTTACAATGAATATAGTTAAGTACATATCTTTAATTTGCTGACTTACATGTACGTATATATATGCATATATCACGTATATCTCTACTATATCCGTGTTGCATCCTAAATAGTTCAAAGATTTCAACATGTTTGTAGCTTGACATATCCGTATAGCTGACATCCATTTTCATGAACATATTTGGTTTGAAGTCCCACAATTGTATTCACGTAATATGAATTTTTCAGTAATTTCAAAACTAAGTGCTATACAAAAGGAAACCTAATTTCAAAAGATATCTAATCCTCACGAAAATTCCTCGAAATTATACTCTTCCCCGAAAACTGAGAAGACTGTACTTCCAATATCCGCACATAATCTAATTGATTTTGTCTCATGTTGAATAAGAAAAAAATGTCAAATCCAAAGCTGTTGCACCGAATTACATAAGAACATAAGCACACAAAAAAAAAAAAAAAAAACCTGAATCTCCTTCCTGATTTCATTGAAATCCAAAAATCTCTTCCCCGGCAAGTGCAGGAACTCCCCCCACTCCTCATCTGTTCCATCGCCCTTCTTCTTCATCTGCACGAGCTGCAGGACCAACGGGCGGCGCGTGCAAATATCATTTCCACGCGGCAGGAAATCGCGCCCAACCAGCGCCTCCAGCACACTGGACTTGCCGCTGCTCTGACTTCCGACCACCGCCACCTGTGGCAGCTCGATCGTCGACTGGCTTCCGAGCTGCGAGAATATGTCCTGCAGCTTGTTCACTATCGGTATCACCGAGTGCCCCAAAGGCGGCGCCGCCGCAGCAGTGTTGCTCGACGCCGCCGCCGCCGACGATTGCTCTTCCGCCATGGAATCGATTGATTTTTTGATTCAAGTATCAATTTAAGTATCCGAATTTCGAAAATAAAAATGAAGATTAATTGGAGTGAGATCTGAATTGGAAGATCGGAAATGAGAGTTGAAACCCTAAGCAGGGGTTTGAGAATGTGATTCGAGGTGGATGAGAGAGAGAGAGGGTTTGAATTTGTAGTAGAGAGAGCAAGGATTGTGTGTGTGTATGCCTTCTCGTACCGCCCAAGAAAAATAGACAGATGGGATTTATTCTTTTTTTTTTTTTAATTTTGAAAAATTAAAATGAAATGAAAAATATTAGGGAAAATTGCACGTTTAGTCCTCATGTTTGGTTCGATTTTACTTTTGCTCTCATTATTCCAAACTAAACAAATTTCACCTTCAAGGTTCAGTTTTAAAAAGAAAATGCTATTTGCGGTCACAAAATTGCTATTCGCGGTTTATAACAAAACCCCCCAGAACTTTTAAAAATATCAAAAAAACCCCCAAAACTGCAAATAGCAAAAAAAAAAAAAAAAAAAATCGAAAATTCGAAATCAAGCTTGAAGAAGGGTTGGGCTTCGATTTTTTGATGTAATTTCGACTCTTTTATGTGTAACATGCATTGGGTAGGTCGATTACGGAACCAATTTCATGTTAAAAAGCCCTACAAATCAATTTGTAGGGCTTTTTTTTTCGCAAAAAAATGTTCGAACGCCCAAGATGGGCGACCGAGGCGTATAGGAATATATATAAAAAAAAAAAAAAAAAACGTTAATTTTGCACTGGACGCCCAACTCGGGCGCCCAAATGCAGCTTGCACGCCCAACTTGGGCGTGCACTGCATGAATGGGCGCCCAAGTTGGGCGTTTACGCGTTTTGGGGGGTGTTTTTGGATTTTTTTGGAAAGTTTTGGGGTTCTAGTGAAATAAAGAGTTTTTTTGGGGGGTTTTATTAGAAACCGCAAATAGCAATTTTCAAACCGCAAAAAGCAATTCCCGTTTTAAAAACATTTGGTCCCCTTCGTCGTGTGTCTGTTCGGATGTAACGGAAAACACTATTTCGTGGCCAAAATTCAAATTTAAAATTGTTTTGGGTGGAAAACAATTAAAAATTTAAAATACTACTTATAACCAATTCGCTAATAATATTAAGTATAAATAAATAAATAAATTTAATAATATTTAATTGTCAAAACGAAGATGACGAAGGGACAATTTTTTTTTGTTTTATATACATATATATATCATTTTGTCTCTTAAAATTAAAATATTATTCAAAAAAATTCTAATGTATTTGTATTTAATATTTTTTTAGCATTTTATTTTTGAAAATTAAATATCATTCAATTTTTTTTAATATACTAAACATTATTAAAAAAATAATTATAAATAATACTTTAAATTTTTACTTGTTTTCCAACCCAAAAACAATTTCAAATTTCATTTTTTGCCTCGAAATAGTGTGTTTCTGTTAGATGTGAACGGACACGTGACCGTGACGAAGTGGACCAAATGTGTTTAAAAATTGAAATTGGAGATGGAATTTGTTCACTTTTGAATAAGGGTTACCAAAAGTGGAATCGGGGGCAGATATGAGGAACGAAAAGTGTAATCTCCCAAATTATTATGAATAATAATCAATGGGATAAATTACACCTACACCCCTGAGGTATATTAAAACAACTTTAAGGTCCATGTGCTATTTGTAATCATATACACATCCTTGAAACAATAATCAGAGCCAAGATTTGATGTCCTAAAGACCGATATGCACTATAATTGTTTCCCGGTGGGGTGTTAATGTTATCATAGGCGAAAAGTTATAAATTTTATATAAAATAATTAATAAAGATTTAAGAATTGGTAGGAGATTCATGTCACTCATTAGCTTTATATTGTCTCCACAACTGCCTGAAAATAATATTCTGTTACTTATAACCCTAACGAAATAACTTATCCAATGCATTATTCCGTTAGGTCTTCTAACAATCTTTCAGGGTTGATTGTAATTACCGATACTACAACGACCTTAAAATTTATTTTAGCAAACTTGAGAGGTGTGGGTGTAATTTACCCTAATTAAATTTATATTTTATAAATTGATATTATAGGAGGTGATATCCTACATGTGTGGTTAAGGTTAATGATTCGGACAAGGTGGTGGAGCCAAGCCTGGGCCTGGGTGTAGTGGTAGGCACGATACTAACATTTTAATTCATTTTAATTAATTCATTGTTTTGTGTAATATTCTATAGGGTTAATTGCACTTAACCCCTTGTCTTTTGAGCTATATGCACATGACCTCCTTGTAGTTTCATCTACATTGTGCACATGCCCCCCTTGTACTTTTAATATAAGCACATAACCCCCATCTGGTATTCGACTTGGTAAATAATCATGTTCATTAGGAAAATATTTTTTTTTAAAAGCACAATGGCGTTATGTGCTCATATTAAAATACTAGGGGTTCGTGTTCTATATTGAAAACACAAGGAATTTATGTGCACAAAGATTATATCACAGGGGGGTCACATGCTATTTACCCTTTTTCATAATTAGGGAGTGAAAATCGGTACCAGATTTTCAAATTCCGTCGATTTTGATTCAATTTTTTTCTATATTAGAACATATTTTTCATTTTAAATTAATTTATTTTTTTACCTTTTTGGATTTGAGTTTGAATTTATATTAAATTATGATATTCGATCGAATTTTAATTGTTTTAAATAATTTGAATGTGTTTCTAGACATTACATTTATACCAACATAGTTTAATAAAAATGGAATTTTGCGAATTCCATCTATTTAAATTAAAAAGTCTCTAATCTTGGAACAATTTTGTATTTTTTTTTAAAAAAAATTGCATGACTCAAAATTTTATACGGAATTTGAATTGAATTTTTGCATTAAAAAAAAATATACTAAAAAATGTGGGATAATTATAATTTTGGTCCCTCATGTTTGGTCCGATTTCACTTTTGGTCCCCTTGTTCCAATGTGAACAAAGTTCACCTCCAAGTTTTAATTTTAAACACTTTTGGCACCGTTATGGCGTTACATGTCCATTAGCAAGTAACGGAAAACACTATTTTGGGGGTGAAAATTAAAATTTTAAAAAAATAATTATAAATTTACAATAGACTACTTATAATTTTTAATAATAATAAAAAAAGAAATTAACGAAACAAATTATTTTTTATGATACCTAATATTATTATAATTATACTACTTATAATTTAATTTTTAATAATAAAAAAATTAAATAAACAACTTATTTTTAATCATACTTAATATTATTTTTAATTACACTACTTGTGATAAAAAAAATTAATACAAAAACAAATATTAGCTAAACAAATTATTTTCAATTATACTTAATATTATTAAAATTATACTACTTATATTGTTTTAAGAATAAAAAAATAAATTAACCTAAACAAGTTATTTTTAATTATACTTAATATTATTTTTAATTATAATAATTATAATAAAAAATAAATTAGCTAAACAAATTGTTTATAATTATACTTAATATTATTATAATTATACTACTTATAATTAGATTTTTAATAATAAAAAAAGAAATGAATTAAATATATTAATATGAATGATACTTCATATTAGTTTTAATTATACTACTTATGACTATTATTTTTAATAATAAAAAAATAAATTAACTAAATAAATTCCATTAGGCTTAATATTATTAAAAAAAATTATTATAAGTAGTCTATTTTAAATTTCTAATTATTTTCCAGCCCCACAACAATTTAAAATTTTAATTTTCGCCCCAAAATAGTGTTTTCCGTTACTTGCTAACGAACATGTAACAGCGGGGACCAAAAGTGTTTTAAATTGAAACTTGGAGGTGAACTTTGTTCACTTTGGAATAAGGGGGACCAAAAGTGAAATCGGACCAAGCATGAGGGATCAAAAGTATAATTATCCCTCGAAAATGTTGATTGCAGTTCGATTTGTCCCATTTTGACCCCGATTTATACTTGGAGGGCATTTTTGTCCAATATAAAGTACCGGTAAGTGACTTCTTCCCCAAGTTAGCTACAAAATCAATCTACAAACTTCATCAAGGCTCGAGATATTGACACGTCATCACAACACCATTTCCCGTCAACGATCAGAACGTGCGTGGTATTTATAGCGTGTAGATCAAGGGTTTCGTTTGAAATTGCATTTTCATCCTTTCATTCTTCAAGTTTTCATCGCCTCATACGGAAGATCAAATCATGGGTCGCCGTGGCGGTAGCCGTAGCCGTAGCTCCGGTGGTGGTAATTTTTATCTGTTTTTACTCATATATATATATACATATATATATATATATATATATATATATATATATATATATATATATATATACATATATGTGTGTGTATGTGTGTGTGTGTGTGTTTTGTTTAATTTCTGGTAACCTATGCGAAATGATTAGGCTTTGATTAATTTTTGGGAGTTTATTGGGGTCTGCTGTGCAGCTGAGATTGATAATTTTTAATTAAATTGCTAAAAATAGATTTGTTTGCAAATACGTTATTAATAATATAATATTGAATCACACAAGGCAATAATATACGAAACGAAACGAATCGTTGTAAATCGAGAACCATCCGATTCAGCAATGGTGTAATACACGTTTTTTACACGCTCACACACACACACACACATACATATTTGTATATATGTTTCATTTGGTTTTATGCAAGGTTATAAAAAGCGGTAATCGGGTCCGAGTCGGTCAGGCACCGACTCACGATTAATCGGTGCGGCGGTGTTTAATCGGTGATAAATCGGAAATAAATCGGGTTTTAAAATTTAATATAATAGATTTCTAAATATTATTTATAAATACTCCAAACATATATAAAAAAATATTTAAACATAGTTATATCTCCATCATGTATATCTCCTAATAACATAATAAAAATTTAATAATCATAAGATCATAATACATAAATATCCTTATAAAATAAAAATAAAAAAACAATTTTTTTGAATTTACATTTATTCTTGAACATTCGTGGCATACATCATTAGTTTTTTAACAATAACAATTAACATAAACAAAATAAGGCATAAAACTAATATTTTCTTTTATTAAAATCCAACTTTTATTTTGAATTTAAAAAATAAAAAATAAAAAATAAAAAATAATTTTAACCGATTTTTGCCACCGAGTTTGACCCGCCTTAAAGGTTTGACCGCCTCAGACCGCCTAAAACTGCCTCACATGCAAAAAACCGATTTTTCAAAACTTTACACTAAAATCGTAAAGGTTTTGGACCGCCTCCGCCTCGGAGACCGATTAATCGGCCGCCTCGGCCAATTTTTAGAACACTGGTTTAATGTACGTACGTAAGTAGTAACGCACACATAGTTTTCGCGTTGTTTCCGTCGATTTTGGATTTTGTGGTCTGCTTATTTCGTTGATTTTTCCACGTTAATGTAACAGTACCAACACAAGTAATATAAATATGGTATTTAATTAGTTTAGAACGACCTCTCGTTTTCGATATTCTTTCTAAATATTATTAGTTTGTCGAAAGCAGCTTGCTATGCATGGTTGTCGATAAATTCTGCTGAGTTTGAATATCAATTTCCGGTTTATCATTTTACAATTCAAATGGTCGTATATAAATCACAAGTTTATAGTCTCGAAAACGAACCTTAATTAATTATCTAATTATTTACATAATTAATATTGCAGGAAGGTCTTCAGCGCCTCGTCCCGCAGCACGTCCTAGCCCAGCAGCTAAACCAAGTATTTGTCGTCTTTACGAACTATTTAATTGCCACATTATTTTCTTCGTATTTTATTTCTGTTTTAATTCGCTTTTTTTCGTTTGATCTTATATATATATGCACAGCTCGTAAATCGACTCCACCAGCTCCAGTCCAAACTAACTTCTGTGGATTGTTTGGAGGAAGCCTTCGTCAAACATTAACCGATGGTATGTCGAAATTAGCCAACAATTAAATTTTTTTTTTTTTTTATAGATGATCTGTTTTTTTTTTTTTTTTTACCATAATTTATATTTTTTAAGTATTGGCGTGGGGTTTTTCGAACGCGGTTGCGCATAGAGTTATGGACACACTTTTAGGACCTCGTACAATTAGAGTCGAAGAAGTTGCTGCTGAAGCAGCGGCGGAATCGCCTGCTCTAACGAGCGATGTCATGCTTGTGGAACGCACTTCAATGCATTCCAGGAAGTAAGTGTAATTTCAACTATCTTATTTTCGAAACTTCATTTTATTAAATTGAAAGAACTTCCTTCGTTCGTCAAATTGTTAATTCGCGAAAATCCCGTGCGTGTAGTGCAACAAAATTCGTACTTGCTAACCTTTTCAAAACAATTCTAAAAAGCAATTCAAGATGTTTCTCTCTCCTCTCCTCTAGACACGATTTGACTATAAACTATCTTTTTTCCAAAACCGTTAAATATTTTTTGACCAACAAAATATAAACAAACATTGTTTTCGTTCTCGAATTCTTCCCGTAACGATCTCTGTGTTAATACGTTGGGGCTTAATTGGGGAAATTATAGTTTTTGCCCCTCAAGTTTGCACTAATTTCACATTTGGTCCCTCATGTTCCAGTAATTTAACATTTTTGGTCATTTTCGTCAATTTATAATTAGTTTGTCATTTATTTAAAGCAGTGATGGACACACGTTTGATTCCGCTGTTTTAACGAGAAATTAACACACAAGACTCAAATTGTTGAATTTTGGAAACATAAGTGATCAAATGTGCCTTTTGTGAATATGAGGGACCAAATGTAGAATGGATGCAAACTTGAGGGATGAAAACTGTATTTTTCACGGGTTTCATATTAATTTATATTTATATATTTATGTTTTTGGATGCAGTGCTTGAACAGCAACTCGGGTGAGATTAGCAAGTGTCAGTTCTACATGGATTTGTTGGCTGATTGCAAGAAAAATGCAGCAGATACTGTGCTGGATTCTTAAATGTTGAAACTACTTTTTATTATTATTTGCTTCGGATATTTACACTCTTTCCTTTAATTTATTTATCAACCTTTTGTTAAATAATCCTCGACTATAATAAAACCTTTTTATTTTTTATTTTTTATTATCTTTTATACTCATAGCCATTTTTCATGCATGCATTTTTTTTTTTTTTACTTTTATTGGCATTACATATACATGTAAATATAAAGATTGTTTTTATATGTAGATGTTGATGTAATTATGGCATTATGAAATAAACCCCTGAGGTAATGTTAAAGTATAAAAAAACCCTCGTGTTTTGATAATTACAATTACATCCTTCAACTATGAATCTTCTTACACACCCTTCCTTGTAGTGTCAAATTTAGTAGATTATTCTAGATTTTGTGGAACATTCCAACTCGTTTTACCCCATTCGAGCTCCACGATTTGAAACAAGATGGTCATAAGATATGTCTCTTAGCTTGTAAGCATCAGATTGTAGTGCATTAGAAATTGCATTTTTGCACAAAACGTATACAAACTTGTAAATATCAGATGTAGTGCATAAAAAACTGCATGTTTGCAGAAAACGAGTACAAACTAGAGAACGTTTCAAGATTCTTAGTTGATGAGTAGTTGTACTTATCGAAACAAGAGGGGGCTTTTCGTAATTCCACTTACCTTAGAGTTACCCGTAATTTACC